ATATCGTCCTTGTTCGTTGACGTATCACCCGTTGGACAAAGAAATATCCCGACAAGGTACAATAGAACTCGAGCCTTCAGATCATCCCCCCCCGTAAGATCCACTTTTGATATCCTCTTCAACTTCAGCATATGCCACCTTCTGATTCAAACCATATTTGGAGGCAAGTGCTTTCTAATTCTTACTCCTACAGACTTCTACAACACTTTTGCCTTTGTTTTGTACCCCCAAGCGGCTGCAGTCGATACCCCCAGAGGGAATGAATAATCACCATATTTAGCAATACATTGTTTGACATCAAATTGTTCTATCAAGGATCGACACAATTCCCTCCGAATGGTCGATCCCTACTATCAACGATCCAAACCCCATTTCCCTCAGCACATTCAACTGATCATTCTCTTTAAGGTGTTCAATTAATGAATTCACCCTTTTTATGTTGCACATTGTCGACACTTCCTATATTTTTTAACAATATATAATGTTATTGTTCTTATATATCTTGTATCAACGTATTTACAAGTTTAATGAATATCTTCTTTTCATGTGCTTTCATCCATTCTTTGTATTCTTTACTATCATTCATTGACTGTGTGATGTAAGGTTCCTTTCCAGCATCACTCATCGAATTCCATTTTGACCTCACATCTTTTGTCACCTAATATTAAGCATAAACGATTCTTAATCAATACATTAATGCTAAATAATACTCAATGTCAATTTCATTTTACATATCGAACCGCTGTGTGTGCCATCTTCCTTCATCCTTTTGAATTCGGTCATACTGTCAACATTTAAACTTTGTAATCAATTTAAAGTTCTTAAATACTTTAATCCAATTACCATTTCAACAATAATAAAAAAAAGACTGATACTTACTAGAAGTACATATATCCACCCTTTGGTTGCTTTCCTCCCATTGACTTCATTTTTCTTTCATATATCAGTTTGCGCAAATCAAATCAAATAAAATAATGCTTACATACACTTTATTCAATATACAATAATCAATAACCACTCTTTGTGGTAAAACGGTTGGTCTTCAAAAGAATTTGAATGACCACTACAATAAGTGTCGGCACATTTACACAACCTAAAATATCATTTTCTACCTATAATATCATTTTTTACTTATAAATATTAAATAAAAGTATCGATTCGGTCCCAAATGCTTTTTTACTTCGAAAACCCCAAACAACAACACATAAAACCCTATTTCTCATTACTGTAATAATAAAAAACTAAGGTTTCAACAACGTACCTTTCGATTCGACTGCAGCAACAAACAAACAAAACTTCACGTAGAAACACCTTCTGAAATGCAACAACAATTACGCTTTGATTTCAAAAACTCTATCTATTTTCAGAGGAAATTTAGCTATGCCTTTATATTTACACCGGATATGTTATTTTATTTAATCGATACAACTACCTAAGTGTCGATACTTTTATGTAAGTGCGATACTTTCGAAGGATATTACCTATTCTTTGAAAGTATCGATAATTTATACGCGTACTTATTAAAGTATCGACACTTTCAACATATCCGGTAGCGCTTTACCGGTTTTGTCATTTTGAGACCGGTTTTATCATATTTTTACATGTTATATTATTATGGATCAATACATTTTTTAAAAAGTATCGACACTTTATAGGCGCTATAACTTTTTCTCTTTTAAACTCATAAAGTGTCGATACTTATATTAAATTATTAACACTTTCAACATATTCGGTAGCGTTTTACTGGTTTTGTCAATTTTTATACATGTTTTATCATATTTTTACCTGTTATATTGTTATGGATCGATACATTTTTTTAAAGTATCGACACTTTATAGGCGCTATAACTTCTTCTCTTTTAAATTCCAAAAGTGTCGATAGTTATACTAAAGTTATATTAAAGTATCGACACTTTCAACATATCCGGTATCGTTTTACCGGTTTTTTCATTGTAGAGACCGGTTTTATCATATTTTTAGCTGTTATATTGTTATAGATCGATACATTTTTATAAAGTGTCGACACTTTTTAGGCGCTATAACTTCTTCTCTTTTAAATTCAGAAAGTGCCGATACTTATATTAAATTATCGACACTTTCAACATATCCGATATCTTTTTCCAGTTTTGTCATTTTTGAGACATGTTTTGTCATATTTTTACCTGTTATATTGTTATGGATTAATACATTTTCATAAAGTGTCAACACTTTTTAGTTTAATTTCAGAAAGTGTCGATACTTATATTAAGGTATCGATACTTTCAATATATTCGGTATCGTTTTATTGGTTTTGTCAATTTTGAGATCTGTTTTATCATATTTTTACCTGTTATATTGTTATAGATCGATATTTTTTTTTAAAGTATCGACACTTTATAGGCGCTATAACTTCTTCTCTTTTAAATTCAGAAAGTTTCGATACTTATATTAAATTATCGACACTTTCAACATATCCGGTAGCATTTTACCGGTTTTGTCATTTTGGGACCGATTTTGTCATATTTGTACCTGTAATATTGCTATGGAGCAATACATTTTTCATTTGTATCGACACAAACCTACAAGCTAAGTTTGCTGGTTGCCAAATTTTTTAATATTTCTTCATGATTTAGACCTACTACATTATTATTACTCAACATTTCCGGTAGCGCTAAACCGAATATTATAAATATATTATAATGTATCCGGTAACACCGTATATTAACCGTATATTAGCCCGCCTTTCCTGAGAAAATCCCCCCTACCACAGGTGTACATTGACAATATGCTAAAAAATTATAAACAAAAAATACTATCTTTTAATAATCACAAACTACTAAAAAGTAAAGTATTCTATTAGTCATTAAATTATTTTTTTTAATGATCACCAAATTAAAAACTTCAATTTCAACATCAAAGTTACAAATATATTAAAAATTATTTGATATTTTTACTATAAAGTTAAATTGTAGTATATATTAAGAACTAAATATACTGTTATACAATTTAATTTACGATAAAAAATAAATGAAATTTATGTATAAAATAGGGTAAAGTACTCAAATTACTAGCATTTAATAATCGGGTCGGTGTAGATATGACCACCATATTTTTTTAATTTTGTCAATATGATCATATAACTATTTAAGTTAGGGTAAGCATTCGATCGAGTCAAGTAAAAAATTTCGAGTTATTCGAGTTGACGAGTTCTATTTTACAACTTGAAGTTCGTTTGAAATTTTTTTGAGTCAATTCGAGTAAACAAAATTTGAGTTATTCGAGTTGAAGAGTCTTATTTTACAACTCGGAAATTGACTAGAAATTTTTTCGAGTCGATTTTTTTAGTTTTTGTTTAAATTTAATTATAAATATTCATAATATTATTTGATTCTAATTTAAATAGTTGTTTATAGCCATATGCAATATATATATATATTCGAGAGGCTCGACTCAAACTTAGGGTCTGTTTGTTTCCCTGTAATTGGTTTTCCAGAAAATATTTTCCTCATTTTTCAGTGTTTAGTTGGTGGAAAACAAATGATCAATGTAATTCGTTTTCCTGATTAACTGAATTTCCTTTACATTTTTTTGGAAAATGACTTATACCATCTGATTTTTTGTAAGTCATTTTATGAACTTTTCACTTTAAAACATAAACACTCAAAACATTATTATTTATATATTTAATATTAATATATTATTTTAGTATCATTTTAATAAAAATATTAATTATTAAATTATATTTATTGAAAATTTTAATAATATAATATTATTTTTATAATTATATTATTATAATATATAATATTATAATTTTATTTTAATATATATAATAAATTTTTAATAAAATTTACATTATTTATTAATTATTCTAATAAATTATTAAAAATAATTTATTTATTGATAATTTCAATAATATAATATAATATTTTTTGTTATTATTATAATATATAATATTATACTTTTATTTTAATATATATAATAAATTATAAATAAAATCAATATTTTTTATTATTATTCTAATAATATATAATAAATTATTAAATAATTTATTCTAATATTTTAAAAATATTATTATTATTTATTATATTTGATGTTTATAATAAAAAAGTTTTTAAAAATTTACTAACAAGTGGAAAATGAATTACACAACATCATCCAAACATCGTAAAATGAATTAATCCACCAATTACTAAAAAATTTAAGTTATTCGAGTTACTTGATTTTTCTTTTACAACTCAAATTGAACTTGATTTTTTTTTCAAATCAAGTCGATTTTATGAAATTACAACTTAAAGTTGATTCAAATAAAGTTTTCTCGAGTTGAATGAAGTCGAAAAATCAATTTCACAAGTTGATTCGAGTTTTGGTCATCCCTAATTTAAGTGTCTTCAATCAAACCACATGCCATTTAAAATTTAACGGAGTAACGACATGACAATTAATAAAATTGATATAATTACATATGTAGTCCTCATAACTTATATATTCTCTCAATTTAATTTTAATTTTAATTTAATTCAATAAATTTAATTATTCAATCAAGTTTTAATATACATCACCACCTAATTAGAATTTTTTTCAAAAATTAATTTAATGAATTTTCAATCCAATCAATAAGTGACACGTATCATCTTTTTGAATAGAAGAGAATACAATTTGAGGATGTTTAACGCCAGGGGAATCGAACCTAAGCACAAAGGCTGAGGTATTTAAGAAACTAAATACTCCAAACCACTAAGTACTAGACTAACTTAACTCTGCATGAATTGGACTCGTGGCAATTGGCGTTGAATGAAAGTGAAGGACTAAGCACCTACGTGTCATTACCATAAGGCTTTCATTGCTCCTACTTCGCCAAGTTTATTCTACTACGTGTCCTGCCTTGCATGATCGGCACCCCCTCGCCCCTCATTTCCTTACCTTGCCTATTACTATTATATAAACCCTACGTTTTGCATGCATCGTAACGTGAATTCACCCTCTTGTAACCTTTTTGTCATTCTTTTTTCCCAACTTGTTTTAAAGAAAAAGAAGCGGATGGCTTCTCAACAAGAAAGAGAGATACTCGACGCCAGGGCAAGGCAGGGAGAAACGGTTGTTCCCGGTGGAACTGGCGGCAAGAGTCTCGAAGCTCAAGAGAACCTTGCAGAAGGTAGGTGATCATCTATCTATCTATCTATATATAATATCTTTGTAGCATTAGTTGTTCAATTACTGCTTCCATTAGGTTGATGTTGAGCTAGTGTTTTAGGGAGGAGTCGTGGAGGACAAACAAGGAAGGAGCAGATAGGAAGTGAGGGCTACCAGGAAATGGGCCGAAAAGGCGGTCTCAGTAGCATCGACAAGTCCGGTGGTGAGCGGGCAACCGAGGAAGTAATCGGCATCGACGAGTCCAAATACAGAACTAGGACTAATGCCCCATAAGTGTCTGCGGCTGCTGATTGCCTTGGTGCTTTTGTATTATGTTTGGTGGTGTTTTTCTTTCGGTTCTAGGCTTCTAGCAGTATAGTGGCATGGCATATGGGAGGTTTCCACTTTGCCACTGCCTCTCTTTTCTGTATGCATTTCGACTTCTGAATGAATTACATATTTGGCCCATATATCCTAGAGTTGATTGCTGGCTTGCCGCTGCTCTTTTAAACCACGTGTGGTTTCATGCTTATATGCTCAAGAAAATTAGTTTATTTGATATGCTTTCAGATGGGAAATATTTCAATATGTAAGAGCACTTTGAATTTTGTGATTATATAAATAGGAAAAAAAATACTTGAAGTGTGATTAAAAAGTATAATTCAGCAAATTAGAGGTTGGTGTCTTCACGTTACCATGTATAATTGTGATAGGTTAGTGTCTTCATCGTTACTCATTTTGGATTTTATAATGGTTCTGATCCTTTTTTTTCATTATGTTGATTCTTAAGTTTTTAAATTATTTTAAGTTTAGATTTCAATATAGGTAGGTATATATTATTTAGGTCTTAGTTGTTTTTTTGATAAATTTAGATTGATTAATATTTTTTTTAAAAAGTTTTTTATTCAAATCATTTGCAACTAGGTTATATGTTTTTTTTTATAAATTAAGGGTGAATATAAGATATTATTCTTTATTATATATTTAAAGATAGTTTTTAATTATTTGATAATTAATACTTATACCGTTTTATATGCGAGTCTCGAGTTCGAGATTTTAAAGGATAACAACAAATCTCTTAATTAATGAAGTATTTGCGAGTCTCGAGCGAGACATCAAAGGATAACACAACAAATTTTTTTTATCATTTTAAGTCATTTGATTCATTTAAATATAATTGAATTTTATTAAATAATATTATAATCAAAATAGGATTATAAATAAGGATAACGAAATCGATAAATTTTTTATTCATAAGACCTGATTTTTTAAAAAGAAATCGGGTCAAGTCTGATTTTGTAGGATCCATTTTTTAAAAAAGAAACCGCGATAAATTTTTTATTCATTCATAAGACCTGATTTTTTAAAAAGAAACCGGGTCAAGTATGATTTTATAGGATTGAATTTTCTAAAATGAAACTAGGTTTATATAGGATTGAGGTCAAGTCAGGATGAAATTATTTTGATCCGGAGGTAATAATATAATTTTTTATATAAATTTATAGATATTGTTATAATACGCCTTCATTAATTAAGTCTTTATTTTATATCGAATTGGATCGTGCGTATGAGATTTATATTTTTAAGTTTTGATCAGTTCAGATCGGATTTGATTGAGGAAATGTACTCTTCAACTCATGTGGAATTAAGGTATACATTTTTAGGTGGAGTCGCGTTGACTAAAAATTCAACTCAACAAGACCGTTGTCATCTTTAACTGAAAATTAGAGCTTATTACACTATTTAACTTATGACTTAATTTTCGACGGCAACTAAGCAACTTTCGTGTCTGATAGGTTGGTTTCCGACAATGTTCCTATAGCTTCTAAATTCTTCCACCACTTGGGCACTAGTCCTCAGGGTTCTTCTCATAGGGTGGCATTGAAATTAAATATGGCGAAAACTTATGACCGCATAGAATGATCATTTCTTTTTGAGAATCTTTGCTTGGGGTTTGATCCTGTGTGAGTATCTCTGAACATTAATTGTGTCCACGGTAACTTACAGCATTTAGATCAATGGTGTTCCTTCGGATACCTTTACTCTTGAGCATGGATTGCGACAAGGGGATCCACTATCCTCGTTTCTATTTGTATTATGTGCGCAAGGACTGTCATCTCTTCTTCACTTTTAGTAATCCCAAGATCCAATTTGGGGATTGAGAATTTGTCATAAGATCCAATTTGGGGATTGAGAATTTGTCATAAGGACTCTTGAATTTCTCATTTATTGTATGTCGATGATTTTTTTTGTTCTTTCGTACTCAAGCTTCTAAATTCAACCAGATTCGTGAGGTTCTTGATCTCTATAAAATGGCATCGGTCGAGGACCCCGACTTGTATTTGGGTACGCCTTTGATCGTAGGGCGGAATAAAAATACAACCTTTAGTTATCTTCATGACAAGGACACCTGTAACACCTTAATCCGGTCTTACCCGAAAATCAAAGGATTAGAATATTACACGAGACCACCGAAGTGGTTAACCCAAAAATTTCCTTTTAAACAATACTCAACAAGGCTAAATCAGAAACCCATAAAATAAATAAGAGTTCAAACATTTAAATATGACATTTACAAAATAGGAGCTCTATCGATAAATTCAAAATACACAAATTTGATAAACAAAGTTTGCAACTCAAATAAAATAAGGTCTCTATGAAGTACATGCCAACTAATATGTACCCAAGACGTACTATAATCAAAAGATTCAAGTTGAAATTCACGAACTGGCGATAGCTCCTTGATTCATGCTCCTAAGAACTTGCGGACATAAACACATTTTGAACTCTGAGCTTACAAGCTCAGTGCCACGCAAATAACTCTAACATACTATATGCATTCATTACATGAGTATACAAACAAGTATAGACATGATGTAATCGGAGGGTCACATCATCTCGGGACTCACACTCTTATAGATATCCTTTTGATTTAGTTCAAATTAAATTTCTTGTATTTTTGGTTTAGTTCAAATTATATTTCCATTTTATTTTGATTGATTGTTAATATTTATATATTAGTTTGATAATTTGATCATGCATGTTTGTATATTATTTTGATAGTTTGATAAAGTTTAGAAATTATTTAGATGTGCAATAGGACATAAATGTGTTGTTCAAAATAGATTATTTTATTGTGTTAGATCATTTAAGCATGTAAAATGTATCGTGGTAAGGTGAAAAGACAACTTTATTTCTATCAAAATGTTGGATAATTTATTTTGATTCATATGGATTTTTCTATTAATGTGTTTGATAATGTAAGTTAGAATAAAGTGTGTTGTTGCATATAATTGTTGTAAGTTTTTTTATTGCTATGGATTTTTCTATTTTTTTACTTGAATTTTTCCTAGAATCATTGGTTTTTTCACTGGCTTTGACTAGTGTTTATTTTATGTTATATTTTGTGTTTAAATACTCCTTGATTGTTCATTATTATTGCCGATTTAAGCATTTTGACATGATTTCTGTGCAGGACAATGACTTTTGGAAAATGTGCTTAAAAGGTTCAAAAACTGCACTTTTTGTTATGGAATTATTGTAAGTTTTTTATTGCTATGGATTTTTCTATTTTTTTACTTGAATTTTTCCTATAATCATTGTAAGTTTTTTCAGTGGATTTGACTAGTGTTTATTTTATGCTATATTTTGTGTTTAAATACTCCTTGATTGTTCATTGTTGTTGATTTGAGCATTAATTTTTACATGATTTATGTGCAGGACAATGACTTCTGGAAAATGTGCTTAAAAGGCCCAAAATTGTACTTTTTGTTCTGGAATCAAGGCTGGAACAGTTGGCATGAAATGACTGACCCTGTAGTTCATCAGCCGCTTCTAAAAGGTCCAGTCAGTAGTTTCCAAAAGGTCTAGTTAGCAATTCTAGAAGGAGGACGAATGGCTGGAGTATTTCAAAATTCAAGTTTTTAGGAATTATCTTTTTATTTTTAGGATTTAAATTCAAATAATTGTCATTTGTATTTTTAGCTTATTTTTAGGATTTTTAGAAGGCTATAAATAACCTTTTAGGGTGAGCCTAAAGGGGAGGAACTCTTCACTTGTCTTTGAGATAATTGTGATTAAAACCTTCTTTTCTTTACTTTTATAAAAGTTCTCTTTTAGTTTTACTTTGTTTATTTTTAAAAGATTTTATTTTAAATTCTAAGTATGATTTCTATCATGCTTAGCTAATTTTCTTTCAAGCCGAGAGCTAATGCAATGACTCAATTCCAACGTGAGGATTGAAAAGCACTTAAACAACTTTGGATATCTTTCTTAGTTTTCTGGGCTTATTTTTAAAATCAAAACAATTTCAAACCAAAGATTGACGTTGGTCAAGATTTTGTTATGGTTAAATTTGACGCGAAAGGATTTACTTATTGAAGCGCATTCGATTTCTTGGGAACACACTTAGCAAAATTGTTTGGTAAGAGGAAAATGATATCGAAACTAGTTATTATTGAAACAACATAATCTGAGTCGGTCTTTTACGAACTTAAACATTTTTTATCTACAATATTGTTGTTGATTAGGTCAATTTCCAAAATCAATATCAAAGGTGACACTTGGGTATTCAGTATACAAAGCATAGTTACAAGGATTAGTCCTTGTACACAAGTAACCAATATGAATCCCGAAGTAGAAAAACCTTTTTCGATGATCCGAGGAAACTGAGTCAAAGAAAAAGCCTAAGGCTGACTAATACCACACTGAACCTATTTCTTTTTAATCTCTTTATTTTCTTACTTTTATCCACAAATCCCCACCTTTACTTAATTATTATTCAACTAACTTCTTGGCTCAGAGATTAAACAAGCATAAATCAGGAAATTCTCTTAGCCCATATGGGATCAACATTTACTTCTCTCTTACTACGTTTAATTTCCTTTATTTATTATTTAAGAAGAATGAATTATTTTGACACGAAAATAACGCATGTCAGGCTTGACAAGAAAGGAAACACTGATTTTGTAGTTGAAGATTTGAGAGCTCATCTTGAAATGATGATGATGGAGAACAAAAAATCAAGGTTGAAAACAATGAATTAATGTAATTCGTCAAATTCGATGAAGTCTAAAGGCTAAGGATAATGGTGGAAGATCAAAAAGAAAAAAAATTAAAGCATACAAAGTGAAGGCAAAAAACATGAGGAACAACTCATTACTCTATAAGATAACCTTTTTTTTACTTCATGGATAATGTATATTATGATAGAATGAAGATTGTGGATAGCATAAATTGTTAGATATGTGAAGACCAAGTAAAATGTTTTATATGTATTTTGTTAATAGTATAAG